TTATCCCTACAATGGTTTGTACCTTGTAAGGACTTAATAAATGTTTTTCTTTCTTTCTTTCTTTCTTTCTTTCTTTCTTTCTTTCTTTCTTTCTTTCTTTCTTTCTTTCTTTCTTTCTTTCTTTCTTTCTTTCTTTCTTTCTTTCTTTCTTTCTTTCTTTCTTTCTTCCTTCTCTCTCTTTTCTCTCTCCCTTCCTTCTTTCCTTCCTTTCTTTAGTTATTTCTTTAAAAAAAACTCCTTAATTTTCTCTTTTCCTTTGTTAAGGAATAGAGGAGGTTTGAGGGAAGGCTTCATGAAGGAAGTGGAACCTGGACTGAGCTAAAGGAAGACAAGAATTCTGAAAGGTGAACAGGACAAAGGAATGTATTCCAGTTATGAGGAAAGGCTTTTGTGAAGCCAAGAGACCTAGCATCAAGTTAAGGAACAGCTAGAAGTACAGTTTGACTGACATGAATATAGGTAGGCAAAAGGGAGGCTGGAAGTGAACTGTGGAGGGCTCTTAATGCCAACCTAGTTTATTTTTTAATCTTAGAAACAATAGGGAGCCACTGAAGGCTTTTGAGCAAGTGAGTTACTTGGTTAGCACTAACTATGTATTAGGATTGCTCTGGAAGCTGTATAGGGAGGGACTAGAGCAGTGTTATCAAATTCAAATAGAAAGAGGGTCACTAATCCATACATAAGGATCCTACTTCTAAAATATAATGTTATCTATGTTAAACTGTATTTTTGTTTATTTGGATAACCATTTTCCAATTACATTTTTATCTGGTTCAGGCTGCATTGAGGCCTAGGCAACATTCAGAGCTTTGATACCTCTGGTCTAGAGGACCAGTTAGGCAACGGAACCAATCAGGTTGCTGGCTCCTGGTTGCTACTTTCATCTTCTGGGGGTTTTGGGTCCTGTGGGGTCCTCTGCTGACCTGATCCTGTATCACCCACCCCCTCATTTCTAATGCCCATTTTGAGCTGTTGCTGGGGCTTCTTCCCTGTACCGCCTTGGACCACAGCAGGGTCAAATTTTCAAGAATGCAGCCCATCCCTCTCTCTGCCTCGCCCCTTACCCATAAAACTCTAGAAAACCCATTTGCCCCATCCCTATCCCCATTCCTGAACCTCTAAGCCTCTAAGTCCCAAATCCCATATTTTTTCCCTTCTCTCTCCCAATCCTCACTCATTTTCCTTAGTAGGCCCAAAGTGGAGGTGGTGAAGCTTTCTAGTTCAGGGGGCCTGGGGAATATGAAGAGGGAAATTCAATGGTTCTGGGAAGAACCTTTGGAAAACCAGAAATTCCTGTTACTTTACTCCTCATAGTCTTTTTCTCTTCCCCTCCTCCCCACCTTCCAAACAGGAAGTTCTGAGCCCTGGGGCCATATCAATTGCTGAGAAAATAGCCTTTTGTCTGTAAACTTAATGTTAAGTGCCAACCAAAAAGGCTAGGGAAGGCTTAGGCTGTATTAGAGAGGCAGGCAAGGGTTCAGGACTAGGGAAGTGATGGTACCACTGTATTTTGCTCTTTTCAGTCCAATCAAGGAATATTTGGAGCCAGCTCTGCTCTCCATGTTTTTGGACGACCATTGATAAGCACCAAAGGAAGGCAACCAGGATGGTGAAGGGCCTTAAGGTCATGCCAGGTACAAGGATGTACAACCTGGAGAAGAAATAACTGGGGCACAGCTGGTTCCTAGTATTGGAAGGCTCTCTATGGTAGAGGGATTAGTCTCATTCTGCTGGACCCCAGAGGCCTAAAGCAATTAATGGGTGGTAGTGGCAAAGAGATGAATTTACATTTGTCGTGGTGAAAAACTTTCTAAGTGGAATGGGCTTCCAGGGAAGGTAGTGGGCTCCTTATCGCTGGAGGTCTTCAAGCAAAGATGGGATGCTTGCTTGTCACGTGTGTTCCATCAACCAACCAATCAATAAATAAACATATATTAAGCACATTTTTCTTTTTCTTTCTTCCTTTCCCTCTTTCCCTCCTTCTTTCCTTTAAACATTTTTCTAAGTGATGGATAGGGAGACAGAGACAAAAGTGAAAATAGACCTTGTTCTCAAGAAGCTTAAGGTCCAATGGGATATATATGTATATATATATATATATATATATATACCCATTATATATATATACATATATAAATGGGATATATATATATACATATATACAATGGGATATCTTTTTCTATATATATCTATCTATACACACACAGATTTAGCATTGAGATATTGTTTGGTTGAACCCTCAGAGTCTGGGCACTTCTAGCTCCAGATCCCGTACCCAACCATACCCTTTTGATCATATTTTGATCATTTGATTATTTTGATCATATTTAGTCCTATGGAGCCTGGTTTCAGTGAGACAGGGCTCCTTTTTCACACATTTATTGACTCATTAAATCCTTCACCCTAGGGAACCTAGGGAATAATTTTGATTATAGTAAATTAGATTATGAATCACCATTCTAGGGGATTTCCCCAAAAAAGGAGAAGTAAAAAAAAAAACCAAACCAGAATTCAATATATGAATGAATTAAATATGGGACATTCATAGGGAAAAGAACTAGGCAAGTGATTTCTTTGGCAGAGGGAACTTCTGGGTGAGGAAAATTCTTCTATGGATGTAGGTTGGCACTCAGAAACTTTTAGTCTTAGAGAGTTGTCCAGAGCACTGGAAGGTTAAGTGATTTGTCTAAGGTCACACAACCAGCATGTGCCAGGCTTGAACACAAGTCGTCCTGGCTTCGAGATTGGTTCTCTATTCACTATACTACTTCTTATTTGTATATACCAGCAAAAAAGTTAAACAGAAAAAAACCTCGCAATCATTCATTAATAGAACAGTATTAACAGAACAACCTAACTATTGGCCTGATCTGCTGGAGGATGATACTTTATCTACATTAGAACACATAGAAGTTTCTAGGATGGCTAATGAGATAGTTTACATTTCACATTGTCTGGGCACTGTCCAAACAACTCCTGGTGCATATTACTGGTAAAACAAGTCAGAGTTGGGCCAATCTTCCTTCTGGTGGACATCCTAATGCAGACCTTCCCTCTACCTCCCTTAAGCATCAACTCAGAAAGTCAAGACCTTTTAAATTCACAAAATCCAATCTTGGATTTTATGAATGACCTTATATGACCTTTTAAATTCATTAAATCCAATCCTGGATTCTTGTTCACTTAAGACAAGGAAAGAAAAAAACACAAGAGGGACAAAGACAGTTAAGGGTCTTGCAAGCTTGCCTAGTTAGGACATATTTTTTTGCAGCCATATGGAGGGTGGAGGGAAGATAAGGGAAATCTCTCTCATCAGTCAGTCAACAAGCATTTATTAAGTATTTACTATGTGACAAGTACTGTGCTTGAAAACAGTGTACAATTTTCACTGATGGAAAGGAAGAGAAAAGTGGAGGGATGGTTCATCCCTCGTGTACATACTGTTTTTTTCCTTTTTGGTGAGGTAATCAGGGTTAAGTGACTTGCTCAGGGTCACACAGCTAGAAAGTGTCAAGCGTCTGACAGCAGATTTGAACTCAGGTCCTCCTGACTCCAAGGCCAGAGCTCTACTCACTGCGCCACCTAGCTGCTCCTTGTGTGCATACATTTAATCATCAGTTCTTGCTCAAACAGTAATTTAGGAAACTTCGTCATCTACCACTGCAAGCCCTTCAGGGAATGAGTTATACACAGCCAGAAACCTTGCCACCCTTTCTTTTTACCTTCTTAATTCATGGGAAAGGGGACAATACTTTCTGGAGCATATCACATCAAGAATTAGCTGACCTTTTCTTTTGCTAGGAAAGAGGCTGGTCCTGAAAGCAGCCAGGTAGGAAAGGAGAGATGAAAATGATGTGTCAGACCATGGCTAATGTTGGGCATGCAGGATGGAGGCCAGAAAGGGGCTGGGGGAGGCATGATTTTATGGGAACTAGTTTTCCAAGACGCTTTTCTGTGGGGAGGGTTTTTCTTTTGCAAACATTGGAAGCTCGGGAGGGGAGGGGGAGTGGGGGGGGGAAGGAAGGGAAGCCTACATCAAGTACCTACTATATGCCAGGCACTGTATTAAGTGCTTTATACATTTTATCGTATTTGACTTTCATTATAACTCTTTGAAGAAAGTGCTATTATTATCTCTACATTACAGTTGAGGAAACTGAGGTAAACAGAGGGTGAGTGACTTGGTTAAGTGACTTGCTCAGGGTCACCTAGCTAGTAAGTTAGGTTGGATTTGAACTCAGGTCTTCCTGATTCTAGGCCCAGTGCTCTAGCCATTGTATCACCCAGATACTTAGCTAGCAAAGGGGATTGTGAGGGATTCCTTGTTCAGGGAGAGATGCACCCCTTTTTCCCTTTGGAAATTTGGGGTTGTGGGATTAGGCATCAGGCCAGGAAGAGGCCCAACCTTGAGAGAGGGAAGTATAGGGAGGTAACATGAGACAGCCTCATTGTTACAGCTGCTCATAAAGGACTCTGAGTCCCAAGCCTAAGAGCAGAGTCAGGAAGAGACTGATAGGAACCTGAAATTAGGGGCATGTTCCTCTGGCAGTGCTCCTACGGACTCAAGACAACCCCTTCCCACTCTTTACTTCACTTTTGCCTCCAAGAATATGGGGGAAGGATGCTTGCTCCAATGTGGTTCCTTGAAGGACAGGGAGTCGCCAAGAGGGTAAGGAAAAATCCCAGCACACACAGACCCTGGTTTTCCTCATTCCTTCATGGTCCTTCTCTCCCTGCCGTCTTTTCCCTGTCTCCTCCTTTTCCCTTCTTGGCTTTCCCAACCTGGTCACTTTTCCCTCTGATCTCAAAACCCTGCTCTCCATCGTCTCCTTTACTGTATGCCTCCCTTCTTCTTTGCCCCTTTTTTTCTTTCTCCCTCCTGAATCTTTCCTTACATTTTCCCCTATTTCTCTGCCCCATGGCTTCCCCTTTGCCTCTCACCTTGTGTCTCACCATTACTCTTCTTTCCCCTCTGCTCCACCCTATTTCTCCCACTATAGGATGCTGCCTGGTTCTGAGTGGCTGTCTCACCAACTGGGCCTGCTGGGACTGGAGCTTAGAGTTTCTTCAGCCTTGCTCCTGATCTTCCTGACATTTAGCATCTGGATCCTGGGCAAAGGCCTGACCTTTGTCCACCAATGCTATATCAACTGCCAACAGCTTCGATGCTTCCCTGAACCCCCCTTACAGAACTGGTTTAAGGGCCATGTAGGACTGGTGAGTGGGGACATCTGGGCTGAGGGCTAGGGTAGCAGTGGGGGGCTCAGAGGATAGAGAGGCTGTGGGCTTCAGTGGGTAGAGGGTCTGGGCTTATCAATGGGAAAAAGGCTTGGGAGAACTGGGGGCACACAGAATCTGAGGTCACTAAAAGGTCAAAAGCCTGAGAGGATGAAGGGAACTGAACATTTGAGTCTAGAATGGGGAACTGAGTAGATCTTCTCTGGGGAAGGGTAAGCTGGGGGCTCAGTCTCTCTGATGTCCTTGATATAATATAGCAATATTATGTGCTAATATAGCAAGAGTCCCCCTATAATTACTCCCTTCCTCAATAACCTCCATGGGATGGAGAAGAGTTTTGTTTTCTCAGTGGGATGTGGACATATGAAGAAGGCAAAGAGCCCAGGTGGAATCTGGGAGCCATTACAGGATGAGGGGGATTTCAACTCAGTGTTTATCAGGTCCATAGGTTCCTCAAAGACTCTTCTCACCTGTCTCCTCCACCTTAGGGCCACCCTTATTGGGTCCTTGCCCAAGACATAGCCTCCATCTCCACACCCACTTGATCCCCTGTACCCAAGGTAGCAGGTCTTTTTATAGTGTGGTTGAGCCTTCCTTGGGTAGATAGGAGTCATCTCCTTTCCTTCATCACTTGAGCTCTTTTCTCTTCTTCTCCTTCCTCCTTCCTGAACCCTTGGTGCCTCACATGAACCTGCTGGGTTGTTGGACTTTGACATCTTTCAAGTTGAAAATTTTCATCTGATCTGAACCAATGCCCATCAGAGAATCTGAGAATTTCAGAGTTGGACTGGACCTCAGAGAGTATCTAACACAAGCAAGAATCCACTCTATGTGATATTCTCAACAAATGGTCATCTAAACTTCACTGGAAGACTCCTTGTGACAGTGAACCCACTACCTCCTAAAGCAGCCCTTTTTACTCCTTGTCAGCTCCAATGAATAGGAAGATATTCCTTACATCAACCCTTAATTAGTCTCTCTGCAGCTTCCTTTGGTTGCTCCTGGTTTTTGTTCTCTGGAAGGCAGGCAGAGCAAGTCCTCCTTTTCTTCCAGCTATTCAGATGGCTCCCATTTTTTCCCCAAGTCTTTTCAGTTCCAGACTAGGCATACCAAGTTCCTTCAGCTGATTCTCTTATGGCGTGGTATACAGTCTCTTTACCTTTCTCTGTAATTCTCTAGATTATCAATGTCTTTTCTAAAACGTGGTGCCCCAAACTGAACTCAGTACTCCAGATGTAGCCTGACTTGAACCAAGTACAGTCAGACCATCTTCTTTATTCTTTGATGATATACTCCTCTTAGTGTTGCCAGAGATTACTATAAGCTCCATTTATTATCACGTTTTAGAATTCTGTCAGGAACTGAAAACAATCTCACTGGCCCACAGTTGAGAGACTCAACCCTCCTTCCTGTCATAGTACAAAGAGCACCGGGTTTAGAGTCAGGATGACTGGAATCTTGTCTTACTTACTTTCTGTGATGCTGGACAAATAATTTAACCTCTCTCAGCCTCAGTTTCCTCATATGCACAATAGGAATAATAGCATCTACCCCAAATGGTTGTTGTGAGCAGCAAATTAGATAAAATATGTGAACTACTTTGCAAACCTTAGTTTAGAAATATTAGCTATTGTTATTGTTGTCATTATTATGGTTATAATTTTTTCTTCTTCAGTCATACTGCACCACTGCTGTCCATGACCTTCACAACAATGGTTTAGCAATCACTTCTAGTTCTTTCAAGCTGGTAAGGTGTAGCTCATTTGATCTTGCTAGGCAGTGATCTAGGGTTAGGTATTCATTCCCTAACTATTTCCCTACTTATCTTGGGGTTCAGCCCTTCCCATTAGCTATTTTTTTCTGTCTTCTCTAGTCTAATGCTCATTCGTCTTGGAAGAAAAAACAGACACAAAATAAAGTTGAGTAGTTAGGCTCTCTCACCGTCATCTGTTATCATTATCCCTTGTTATCATTATAGCTGAGTAACAGTCCTATCCGGGGCAGGTAAGTCATGCACTGGCTAGAGGGCTGGACTGGAAATCAGGAAAACCTGGCTTCAAATCCTTCCTCATACCCTTACTAGTTATGTAACCTTGGGCAAGTCATTTAACCTCTGTTTGCCTCAGTTTCCTCAACTTTAAAATGGGGATAATAATATTACCTATCTCCCAGGGCTGTTGTGAGGATCAAATGAGATAATATTTGTAATAGTATTTAGCACAGTGCCTGGTACATAGTAGACACCATATGAATGCTTACTACTACTACTACTACTACTACCACTACTACTACTACTACTACTACTACTACTACTACTACTACTACTACTACTACTAC